CTGATGTCTTAACTAAAGGTAGCCTGAAATGGAATGGCACAAGAAAGAGAAGGTAGTTACATGTAAATAGAGTTTCCATCTCCAACTTCTCCTGTAGAAACGGAGACGAAAAATCTCTTTGCCTCTCCCGCTTTCTCTGAAACCAGCATTGCCGATAAATATGCCATTGAATGGCTATTGATACTTCACTCGTTTTCCTTATTTGGGGCTTCTTTTTCCCCCTATGTCCCGTTCCCTTCCTTTTCTTTGCCTATTTTGCTAACCCATGTTAATTATGAGTGATGTTTTTATCACACTTTCAATTATTAATTGCATAGTTTTTTAATTAATTATTATACTTTTTAATTTATTAAAAAGCAAAAAAAATGTAAAATTTTAAGAAAACATGTAATATAAGGGTATAATAAGAAATTATGTTAAAATGTTGTGATATTAATTATTTAGGATGTGATAATTATCCCATCAATTAATTCTATGACAATAAATTCATACATATGACTTTAAGAACTTTCCACTTTCTCAAAAGGGTCAATTCTTCACTTTGCCTGAAGTTTCATCTTGGAAATAGTCAGGCAAAATCCCTCATTTCCCATGTTTTGGTTTGGGGCTGACTTGAAGACTTTATCAACTGCATTTGAAGGTTTTATATTCTATGCTTCATGGGGTTTTGGTATTTGTGCAGAACTTGATTGAATAGTATGCATTTCATTTTTCTAATTCTCTGAATAGTTTCCAAGCAAAAGAGAGAAATTGGTAGGGAAAATGTTCTTTTGATTGGTCCAAATATGGCATTGAGGGAGGGAGAGAGATATAGAAAATGAAAGGACCTAAAGATTTAAGATAAAAGTAATATGGTCATTTTATTATGTTCAGGGATTATGTGGATAATTTTTTTTTGCCAATTCATGTACTTTGCCCGGTTGCAAATTCCACATTTTATTTTATTGAAAATATATGCTTCTGCTGTGAATTAACATGCGCCACGTCAATGAAAATTTAACAAAGGGACTGCAAAAGCTCCAAAATCTCAAATTTTATGAATCAAATTGGGGATATTTTAACTGAAGGATGAAGTTGGAGTCTGTACAATAGTTTAGGGAATAAATTTGGAAGTTTAACCTTTTCTTTAAGTAGAGACTTTGCCACAACCACCTCTAAGACTTTTATCAGACAGCGTTGCCCCACGGCTTATTTTAAAATTAAAAAGTATTATAAAAAAATTAATAAATTTTATAATAAAATTTTGTTAAATTGTCAATTTTTTCATATTTAGTACAAATTTAACATTAAAAAAATTGATAAGAAACTTGCCA